CCCCCCCCCCCCCCCGCCCCCAGCCAGCCTCCCCGGGGCCGCCCGGCACTCACAGGGAGACGGTGATGTAGAGGAAGCTCCAGTTGCTCAGCCCCACGTCCAGGGCGGTGGACAGCGCTGCGGGCGAGACGCCGTCAGGAGAGCCCCGCTGGGTCCCGGCGAGAGCGCCCAGCCCACCCGCCCCCGCCGCTCACCTGTGGGGCCCACCTGGCGCAGGTAGGCGGGCCAGGGCAAGAGGGCGCGCCCGGCGGCGGCGGCGGCGTGGGGAGGGCGGCGGCGGCGGGAGCAGCGCCTGGCCAGCCCCGAGAGCGCGAAGATGACCAGCAGGTGCAGCAGCGTCATGAACAGCGGGAAGGCGAAGCTCTGCGCGGAAGGGAGGCCACGCGGTGAGCCGGCGCCCGGCTGAGCCTCCCCCCCCCGAGCCCCGCCCCTCCCGCCGCCCCCACCTTCATGAGCCACTTGTTGTAGAAGGTGATGCCGATGGAGAAGCCGTAGTAGAGCAGCACCAGCCCCGCCGCCCGCGCCGCCGCCCGCGCCCCGGCCATAGCGCCGCGCGGAAGAGCCCCGGCCCCGGCCCCGCCCCCCCGGCCCACAGAGGCCGCGCGGCTAGAGCGCCCGCCCGCCCCCAGCGCCCCCTGCCGACCGCGGCGCAAAGAAGAGGCTGCAGCCCGGCTGGAGCGGGGAACGAGCTTTAATGCGGGGGGCGGGGGGGGAGGGAGAGCGCGCCAGGTCCAGCCGACGCCCCGCGACCGCGACGCCCCCGCCCCGCCCGTCCGTCCGGGGATCCCGCAGCGGGCGGTGGCTCAGGCGTAGTGGTAGACGAAGTCGTAGCTGCTGGGCTCCTTGGGGACGGGCGGGGGCTCCTCCGGGATCTGGACGTTCTCCAGGTCCAGCAGGCGCAGCTTCATCTCCATGCTGAGCAGCGTGTCCAGGTCGCTCTTGGTCAGCTCGCTCGCCATGTCCTTCCCCAGCAGGGCGTTGAGGCCGTCGATCCAGACGCAGAACTGGGGGCACCGGGAGCGCGGCTCAGGCTGGGCAGCCAGGGGAGCCCCGCGAAGACCCTCTGGCGGCTGCCCAGCCGGCGCCCGAGGATGCTCCGGAGGGGGCAAACCGCGGCCCGGGAAGTGGCCATCCGGGGGCAGGTGGGAGGGATCCGCCTCCTCTCCGCCTCGCTCAAGGAGCAACGGGGCTGCTCTAAGGGCGGCGGGGGGAGGGGTGGCTTTCGCTCCCTTAGTCTCGGCTGAACCCCAGGGAGGGAGGGGAGGGAGGGGGGGGTGAAAGGGCTGCCCTCTCCAGTCTTGGGCATTTCTGAAGGGAGGGGCAGCCGATGCCAGAACCAGGGGAGTCAGAGCTAGAGGGAAGGGCTCCCCTCCAGGATGCGGGGGGGGGGGGCTGCCCCAGAGCCATGGGCTCTCCTGGCTGGGTCGTCAGAGGGGCTGGGGGGCTCCTGACCAGAGCGAGCACTGAGGAGGAAGAGACTCCCGGGCAGGAAAAGCCCCCATTTGCACGGGGGCCGCTAAGCCTGCCCGCTTCAGGACCACCAAGCGGCTCCTGTCCCAGAGGCAGCTGTAAATCCACGGGAGGCTGCTGAGGCAGAAGGTTCCACCTTAGTTCAGCCTGGCGGGAGAAGCAGCCTCCCACCTCCTGCTTGTCAGCCAAAACCGGCGGGGCAGGGAAGGCCTTGGCTCTCCACACCCCACACTCGCCACCCTGAAAGCTGCAGAAAGCGCATTTCGCCCGCTTGCAGCTCCCACCCATCCTCTTGGCTGGCAGAACCACCCAGGAGTCTCCGGGCAGCCCCAACAGGGAAGGAAGCGCTCTGATTCTTACCCTCAGCAGGGGCGGACCGGATGGCCTCCAGAGCCCCCTCCAACTCTGGCCCTCTCAGCACAGCTCCCCCCCCCCCAAGGCCGCTCCCTTGGCCGGGGAAGGACACCTGAGGGCAGCCCTGGAGGGATCCCCCACCTGCCACCACCTGCTCACCTCGTATTTATTGGGTGCGATGAAGTTCAGGGCCTCGTCCGGCTCATAAAGGATGGAGAAAGCCAGTTCCAGGGCCTCCTTGGGGATGGGGAGAGAAGATGGGGGGGGGGAGTGAGGGGGAGGGGCGGCAGGCCTCTACCTCCCCCCCCCCCCCCCGGGGCAGGGCCTGGGGGGGGGGCCGGGGGCTCCCTGGGACGCCCCTACCTTGTTCTGCTTCAGCGCCCCCTTCTCCTTCATGTGCGGGCAGTCTTTCCCGGTGAGGACGGCCTTGATGTCTGCCACGGGGACTGAAGGAAGAGGGGCTGCAATCACGCCCGCCCCCCCCCCCCCCCCCCCCCCCCCCCCCCCCCCGCCAGCCTACTCTTCTCCTGCAGCGACTCCAGGGCCACCCCTCCCTGGGCGTTCTCCTCCAGGTCCCCGTAGTGGAGCGTCTTGTGATTCAGGGCCAGGCGGCAGTGCCAGAAGCGCTCTGCAAGGCAGGGGAACGGTCTCGGCAAGGGCCCCCCCCGAGAGAGAGAGAGAGAGGGCCCGCCCCCTCCGTTGCCCCAGGGGCCCCCGCTCACCTTGCCTCCTCCGGTTGCCCCCTTTGCGGAAGCTGCTCCCCTCGCAGAGGCGGTTCAGGCGCTGCTGCCTGATGAGCTCCAGGATCTCCGGCTGGATCTTCTCCCGCAGCTCCCTGGGGAAGGCCGCCCAGCAGGCACATCAGAGGGCTGGGGAGGGGGGGGAGTCCCCCGTGGCCCCCCTCCCCCTCCCCAGGCACTCACACGATGGGCGGGGACTGGAAGTCGTCCTGGCTCATCCGCTCCGACTGGCGCAGGCGGAGCACCTCCGAGTAGCCCAGGCTGCGCAGCTTCCCCTTGAACTGGTCCAGGGAGGGCGGCTTGGCGAGGAGAGCCCGGCTGATCTGCTCCCGCACCACCTGCATCACCTGGCGGGGGAGGAGGAGGAGGAGGAGGAGCAGGAGGAGGAGGGCAGTGGCATTGCGGGGCGGCAGAGGGAGGGGGCAGGGGCCAGGCTGGGCGGGGGGGGGCACGCAAACCCACCTTGTGGAAATCCTCGACTGTCGCCCGCATCTCCTTCCAGGTCCTGTTCAGCAGCTGGATGCAGATGGCGAAGAGCTCCTCCAGGGCCTGGTCGTGCGTGAAGAACATGGGGTGGTAGTCGTTCCGGCCCTCGTTGGCTGGGCAGAGGCAGAGAGGAAGGGGGCCGTCAGAGCGGCCGGGGAGGCCCCCTTTCCCCCAGGCTGAGCTTGAGCGTCTAGGGCAAGTATTCCCAGGCTGCCAGGAGGCCTCAGCAGAAAAGCACCAGGAAGGGCAGTTGGGGTACGCGAGAAGCGACACAAAAGTGTCGCAACGTCCCACAGGGGTTCTCACAGGCGCCTCCAGACGCGCATTATGAGGCTCTGGGTGGCAAAGCAGAGCTTTTACCTTTCTGACTGACCCTGGGGGAGTGAACTTCGCCGACCAAGGGCAGCTCAACCGCTGTCCTGGCCCAAACCGCACCCCGCCACCCTTGGGCTGCCACCAGTTGGGCACCCTGCGGGGCTCGGAGGAGGAGGAGGAGTGGGGGGAAGCTTGATGGCCCCGAGCAGCTCGGCCTCCACCGGATTCCACTTACGAAGTTCTCCAATCTGCAGGATCTCGCAGAGCGCCTTGGTGAGCTCGATGGCGCTGCGGCCAAAGGGGCAGGCGTGTTTGTCCTCTGGGCTGCTGTTCTCCAGGACGATCTGTGGCGGGAAGAGAGGCCCAGAGTGAGTGAGCGGGGGGCAGGGGGGGGGCTGCTGCCTGCGCAGCTCCTCCCCTGGGGGCAGCTGGGCCCCTTACTCGGATGTAGGCATCCTGGTGGTGTTGGGCCAGGTAGATCATGTTGTCCAAGGCCAGCATGCCGGGCGGGGTCTGGAGGAAGTCCAGGGCAGGATTGACGGGGTTCTGCGGGAACAAATCGGTCTCTCTTGGCCCCTGGCCTGGAAGCGCAGCCGGCCAGCCCTCTCCTCCAGCCCCGCTCCCAGCCCCACCCACCGTGAAGCCCAGCAGCTTGTAGTCCCTGGTGTAAACGGCCTTGCGCTTCTCTGCTCCGCCACCAGGGGTGCTGCCGCTCTCAGCCTCCGCCTCAAAGGCGACCCTGCGCAGCTCGAAGAGGACGTCCCGCTGGGCCTGCTTGGGATGGGGGGGGGGCGATGAGCCTGGGCGGCGACGGCGGCAGCCGCCAAACCCCTGCCCCGAAGGCCACACGGGGCTGCCCTGCCCACCACCTGGTCGCTGGGGTCCATTTTTGTCATCATCCGCTCCTCCCGGAGGTTGAGAGTCAAGACCTGCAGCACGTACAGCTGGTGGGCCATCTCGGTCTTGATGGGGCGGTTTCCTCGGATGACGTGCTGGGGGGGAGGGGAGGGGAGGGAGGAGAGCGTGAAGGCGGTGAGCAGGAGCAGCCCCCACCGCCGCGCAGTGCTCGACCGGCGCGGGGCAGGGGGTTCCTCGCAGGGCTGTCTGGCCTGAGCGAAGGGAAAGCCGATGGGGGCAGCACTGACCCCAAGCCTTACCGTCAGGATGGCCAAACGCAGCTGCTTCTGGGCGGAGGCATCGGCCATCTCCTGCCAGGAAGGTAAGAGGGGAAGTGGGGGTGGGAGGGAGGGAGGTGGAAGGGCCGCCTTCCGGACCTCCCCCCACCTGCGCTGCTCCCCCGCCCACCAGGGAAGCAAAGACCCCTGTGGCCCCCCTGCTCCTCACTGCACCCCAACCCCCTCAAGGAGGAGACCCGGACCCGGCCGGGCCTCCCTTCCCGGGACTCACGGTGCAGGGCAGGTCTAGCGGGCTAGCAAGATGGTCCTGGGGGCGGAAAGCAGAGACAGGCACAAAAGGAGCAGATGACGGAATCAGCGGGCGGGGGGGAGGTGGGGGCACACAGCCTTTCACAGGAGACGGAGGGAGGGGGTGCAAGCACAGACGCCCAGGGCCAGCCCTGCCCCCCGGTCCCTGCCAGGCCGGCCACCTACCTGCCTCTTGTCCTCGGGAGCCTTCAGGAAGAGGGCGTTGATCAGGGCTACGGCGTACGTCTGGATCTCCTGGTTGGAGCTGCCGGGAGAGCCAGAGGGAGAAGGCGTCCAGCTCCTCCTGCCCTGCCGGGGGGTGGGGGTGGGGAGGGGGTGCGGGGCAGGCCGGGAGGAGCCCCCAGCCCTGGGACACTCACACTTGGAGGTGGGAGAGGAGCTGCCCCACCGTGACCTCCTCCGCGACCTTCGGATAGAGCGCCTGGCTGTTCAGTACCAGGCTCTCCAGGATGGCCAGGGAGCGCTGCAGGATGGAGACGTCCACCCTCGGCTGGCTCACGTACCCCGCGATCTGCCGGCAGAGCAAACCCCCCGTCAGCCCCAGCCCGGTTCCCCAGGACGGCCCCAGTCCCACCCCAGCGGACCTGCTTGATGAAGCCGACAGAGACCGTGTCCCAGGAGACGAGGCCGTGGTCCATGAGCTCCAGGAAGGCAGTCAGGGTGAAGGCCAGCATCTCGCCACAGCTGCAGGGGAAGGCACCAACCGCCCCGTCTGCTGCTTGGCCCTCTCCCAGCGGCCCCCTCGGCTCT